CTGTGCTCCATGGGGCTTTCAATGGCTGAGTTCTTAATAAGTAAGCTTTTCTGTGAGGCATCTCTGAGTAACTTGAATCTCCAACCCTTCAGTCAGCAGCCAAGGGTTCTCACCATTTACAACACACAGGACTATAATGTAGAGCTACTGAAACTATCATTTGCTTTAAAACGGTGTGGTGGTGGTGGTTATGTGCTATGGAGTCAGTTTTGACTCATAGCGACCCTGTACAGGGTTTCCGAGGCTGTAAATCTTTATGGGAGCAGAAAGTCTCATCTTTCTCCTGCGGAACAGCTGGTAGTTTTGAACTGCTGACCGTGAGGTTATCAGCCCGATTCGTAACCACTACGCTACCAGAGCTCCTTTAAATGGCATAGGAAGTCTTTAAAAGAGTGAGGTGGAGCAGTTGCCACATCAATTTAAATAGTTAGCTTTAAATCATCAAACTGTTCTACACTCTGTCCCAGAACATTTCTGTGTTCCCAGCATCCTCCACTCAGAGGTTCACAGATTAGATAGGAAGTCACCGTCGTTAATACAATCCCTCTTCTACCTAGCTCAGGGTTTGCTTCATTTCTCTGCTCACAGCAGGAACAACCCATTACCATTATGTCAAAGCTGACTCACAGCTACCTTCTGGACAGAGTAGAAGTGCACCGCAGGGTTTCCAAGCCTGTAAAACTTTTGGAAGGCAGATGACCTCATCTTTCTCCCGAGGAGTGGCTGGTGGGTCTGAACTGCCATCCTTTCAGTTAGCAGCCTAGTGCTTAACCCAGTGCACCACCAGAGCTCACAGCCAGCTGTAAAGTAGAATGTCATTTCCCCTTTCTCTTCCCATGCTACATCCCTTCCAAGATGGCTCCTCTGTCTGGTTCCTCCTTCCTAAAGAACTCAGATCAAAAGAACATTCTAGTGATGTTCTTTGCCTCAGGTTCACGCTATGCCCTATTCCTTGAACGCTCAATTTGAGGTTGGATGTTTCAGGAAGATGCTATGCTTTTAGTGAAATCTGAATCTTGCAAAGGATATGGAGAGCTAGGCCCTAGCTCTGTGCCCCCCCCCCCCCCCCACCACTGGATTTCATGGAAGGAGAAGCTTCCATCTGCTTTTTTCCATATCGTTTGTTTTGTTTTGTTTTGCTTGGGCTCAGGAAGACGAATAATGCAAAAAATCTCTTTGCTCTCTCATCTTTTACCATAAACGCCTTTAGACTGATTTTCATTTCCTTTCAGAAATACTCCATGGAAGATAATGAAACTGTGTGGCATTTTGAGTACTCAATGGCTTTGAAGGGTTTGTTACTAGTTCTTTGGAGTCAGGAATGACTTTAATTTACTCTGAAGTTAACCACTCTACTGAAATTTAAACATCTGATTTTATAGGAGCTAGACAGGTGGCAACAATTGTGAGGTTGGCTCAGGATCGGGCAGTGTTTCGTTCTGTTGTGCATAGGGTCGCTATGAATCGGTACTGACTCGGTGGCACCTAACAACAACAGACAGGTGGCAATTAATGTTGAATTGCCAAGGCATATCTCTTTCCCTTCACCAATTTCCAATCACTTTGCAATGTTATGTTGTCGTTGCTGCTGCTGCCATGTGCCATCAAGATGGTTCTGTCTCATAGCAACCCTATATAGGGTTTCTGAGGCTGTACATTTTTATCGGAGCAGAAAGCCTCATCTTTCTCTGACGGAGCTGCTGGTAGATTCAAACTGCTGACCTTATGGTTAGAAGCCAAATCAATGCTTAACCCACTGAATCACTTGTTGTTAAGTGCCATCAAGTTGGTTCTGACTCACAACGATCCTGTATAGAGTTTCCAAGGGGAAACTGGTGAGTTTGAACTGCCAACCTTGCCTTGTGGTTCAAATCAACCTGGAAGTCCACTGCTTTATTCCACAACCACAACAGTTGCCATTGAGTTGACTCTGACTCATGGAGAGCCCATGTATTTCATAGTATAACTGTGCTTCATGGGTGGGACAAAACACTGGACTGCAAGGTTGGTTTGAACCGCAGGGTTGGCAGTTCAAATTCACCAATCCCTCCTTGGAAATCCTATAAAAGGTTGCTATGAGTTGGAACCGACTAGATGGCACTGAACAACAACAAATCTTTTGGAGGTAGATCGCTGCGCCTTTTTTCCAAGATATCTCTATGTAGATTTTAACCACTAATCTCCCAGTTAGTAGTCAAGAGATTAACTGTTAGTGCCACCAGGGATCCTACTCTAGTCATAACCAATCAAACCAAATCAAAAGCCACTAAGTCGATTCTGACTCATAGCAATCTATAGAGGGTTTCAGAGACTGTGAATCTTTATAGGAACAGACAGCCTCATCTTTTTCCTATGGAGTGGCTGGTGGGTTTGAACTGCATTCACTAAAAATGGCTAAGGGGTAGTGGTGGCTCAGTGGTGGGATTCTTGCCTTCCATGAGGGAGACCCAAGTTCGATTCCCAGCCCCTGCCCTTGCATAGCCACCATGCATCTGCCAGTGGAGGCTGACAGGTTTAGAGGCGCTTCCATACTAAGATGGACTAGGAAGAAAACCTTACGGAGTCTGTAATGGGTTTTGTGTCAACTTGGCTAAATCTGGATTTCCAGATGTTTAACAATTGAGATGTGCTTATTTCCATGGTGATAAGACTAATACGGGCATAGTTAACTCTATGATGAGTGGCGATGAACAACCAATTAACTGAAGGGATGTTTCCTTGGGGGCGTGGCCTGCTCTCAATACAATAGACTCATAGAAGTGACTCACTCTCTCTTCTGATGGGGATCTGGGACTCTACAATTTTAAGCCATTTCTTTGACAATAAACTCTCTGTGTATGTACATACATATGTTTCACTGGGTTTGTTCCTCTAGAAAACTTGACTAAGAGTTCTGTCCCATTGTGCATGGGGTCACTATAATTTGGGGACTGGTTCAATGGTAGCCAGTAACAACCACCACAACAATAGTGATTCAATCAAAGCACATCTACATAAATTTCCTGTTGGAAAATGCCTCCCAATGTTAGCAGGGGTTGAGATGTTTTCATTAAAGTTTAAATGCCGGGCACTAGCCGAGTTACTGAAGACAGCTAATGTTTGAGGGATCAGCAACATCTTTAAGGTTTGTATTTCAAGGTGGTAGACCTGGTAGCCCTCAAGTCTATCTTCCATAACGGCAAAGAGAGAAGAAAGAAGTTCAAGGGGGAAAGGATTGGAAGGGAAAGAAAGGAAAAGCAAAATTCAGGAAGAGAAAGGTACAGTGTGGAGTTACCAGGGACAACTGGGAACCCCTCAGATTATCAACATCACAGGTTGTGTGAACATAGTTTATCATTTCTAAATGCCCATAAAATTTGTTATCACAACACAGGATCCTAAACTTGTATTTCCTTATGCTTTTATACCCCATCTCCGCTGCCCTTTACCTAATTATGGACGTGGTAGGATTTTAATAAAGACTGTGAGAAGCCAGTTCTGGGGCATCTGGGGCTACCGAGGGGCAAGAACCTAGCAAGAGTGTTAGTAATAAGAAGACTGGATTAGCCTGGGTACGAAACCATCTGCCTTGGAATCTAGGCATTACTTCCAGAAATTTTGATTTAGGACAAAGGATAGATCAAAGGGGATCACATTTCTAAAAAATCTCCCCTATGCAATTCTTCTTCCCACTAACATTGGAGGACCATTGATCTGTTGCTAGTTGCCACCAAGTTGACTCTTATCATAGAGAGTGCATGAACCACAGAACTAAATACTGCCCAGTCTTGTGCCATGTTCTCCATCGTGGCACGCCCAAGTCCATTGTTGAAGTCACGGTGCATTTTGAGTGCCTCCTAACCCAGGCATCCATCTTCCATCTTCAGGCAATATAGTAGTGTGACCAATAGGGTTTTCATTAGCTAATTTTCAGAAGTAGATCGACTCTCTTAGTCTGGAGGCTCCACTAATATTTGTCCACTGTAGATGACTTTCTGATGTCTGTCTTACTGATCGCATAGTTTCCAGCATCGTAGCAACATTGAAGCTACCAGAGTATGACAAATTGACACACAGGTGTCAGGCAGGAGGCTAAGAAATCCAATATCTAGAAAGACAGCGCACCAAGTCTGTCAGAGACGCAAACATGTATGTGTCAGCTGCTCCTTCGCTGTGAAGAAATGCTGTTAAGAATGACAGGACACATCTTCTTTAGAAAGAGCTATTGTTGTTAGGTGCCATCGAGTCAGTACTGACTCATCAAGACCCTAAGCACAACAGAACAAAGCACTGCCTGGTCCTGCACCAACCTCAAAATTATTGCTACATTTGAGCACATCACTGCTGCCACTGTGCCAATCCATCTTGTTGGAGAGCCCTCCTCTTCTTCCCCAACCCTCCAGATATCCCATATGCATATCCCAAAACTCAAGCACAAATGATAGCGTTCACATGTTTAGCCACCCAGATTCATCTCCACACCTCCAGCATTGCATACCAGATATGAATAATATAAAAGGGCATTGTGGAACTGTAGGATAAGCACTAGACTGCTAATCACAAGGTCGACAGTTGAAACCCATCAACCATTCCACAGGAAAAAGATGAGGTTTTCTGCTCCGGTAATAATTTAGTCTCAGGTAAAGTTGCTATGAGTCAGAGTTGACTCCATGGCATCTTACAATAATAACAATGACAACCAATGCACTTCCTCAAGGTGCTTTTCCATAACTTTGCTTGAGGCTGGAGAAGGAGTGTGGTGGCTTGGAAAGAGAAGCAGAAGAGATGGAGAGACTGGAGCCAAATTCTCAGGCATGTCTTTAAAAAACCTGAAACCTTTCCCTCTATGTATCTGAAACTTGGGCCTCTGGCTTGGTTGCCACAAACAGAAACAAGTGAGCGTTTTTCATGCAAGAGTCCACATTTTAGATTGTTCAAATGTTTGGCTGAGACCCAAGTCAAAACAAAACCAAACAAAGCCCCATTCTTGCGCTCAGCACACACTAGGAGGAAAGGCCCACCTTAATAATATGAAGCTTGGGTAGGAGGTTACAGTCTGCTAAGGTGAGCTCATTCCCATCCAGAAACTTCCTCCCAGACACAGCGATGTCCTCGGTATTGTAGGTATCTATTTCATCAGGCAGAGGGTTAGTTAGGTAATTGTCCAGCCTCTTGAGTGCCTTTAGCAGGTTTTTTTCATAAACTGAAATAGAAAAGCAAAAATGTCCCAAGCCATGCCATGCAAATTAGCATCCTGTTTCTTTCCATGTAGAGGAAGGTGTTAGGGCTCCTTTCTAATTGAGATGTGGGCAGGGGTGCTGGGAGGGCGGGATGTGGATTTAGAGGCTCTGAATGAAGGGTCCACCCTTCAATGGAAAGTAATTCTGATATCTATACATCATTACTGCTTCTAGAACGCATTTGCTGATTCAAAAATATTTCTTGAAAATCTAATATGATTCTGTTAGTGCAGGTGGGAGTACCTGAATGACCATCATGTTTCCCCTAAAAATATCGTTTCCTGGGTTCTTATTCTTCAGAAGAGGCATTCAGCCTCCTGAGAGCCATGTGCAGATCCAACATTGGAAATGCTTTTTTTTTTTTTTTTTCTTTCTTATTTCTAACTATTTCTTTTTTAAACAAGAAAAAACAATTTCCGTCAAGTCCACTCTGACACACGGAGACCCTCTGGGTGTCAGAGTAGAACAGTAGTCTGTAGGGTCTTCAGTGGTTGATTTTTGGAAGTAGATCACCAGGCCTTTCTTCCAACGTGCCTCTGAGTGGACTTGAACCTCCAGCCTTTTAATTAGCAGCAGGGCACTGAGTACATGCATTCTTTAAGAATTGTCAGTTGGATTCTCCCTTGTATGGCCCCTTTTGTACCACACAGGAACTCATAATACCCCTCTCCACCCTACATGAAATGAGTCAGAATTTCCAATATCTTATAAGAAGTCACATTAAAGGCCAAGTGGAAATCCCTTTTGAAAACAGAAAACAGGATGATGGGGTGGTACTCACTGTCATTTGTGTCCTTTTTGGTGTTTTTTATAAATGCAGAGAATTTGGCAAACACATCATTTCCTGCAGAGTTAGATTCAGGGTGTTGGGTCCCCAGCTTAGGGTACCTAGAAAAGTTCAAATGTGGAGTATTACAGACAAGCAGTCTTTGAGCTGTGATGATACAGCCAGCAGGGAGAAAAAGTCTCATGGAGAAGACCTGGGTTCAAATTCCAGCCAGGGCAACTCATGTGTAGGAACCACCTGTTTGTCAGTGGAGACTTGATACTGAAGAAGTTCAAGCAGAGCTTTGAGACTAAGTCAATCTAGAAAGAAAGGCCTAGTGATTTACTGCTGAAAATCCACCAATGACAACAGTATGCAACACAATAGTCCAGTCCTACTTTGCATGGGGTTGCCATGAGTTGGGGACCGACTTGACAGACGCCAACAACAGTATAAAAATGAAACCTTTCACTTGAATGTTTTCCTAGACTGTTTTATCTTCCAAATTTAGGAGTAATCTATAAGGGAAGATTCTAGGTCATGAATTTTTATCCTGTAATGACCATCCTGCAAAACTGGTCTCCCTTTCCTCCCTGCTAAAATGAAGCTGATGTCCTAGAGAGGTTCCTTTCAGGTCTACACCCCATGATGCCTCCTAACATACCCTCTAGCTTTCAGCACTGCATCTCAAATCACTAAACCGAGTTGTCATGGAATTAATTCTGACTCATGGCCATCAAATGTGTGCCAAAGTAGAGCTGCCCTTGAGGCTTTTCAGCGACTGATTTCGCAGAAGTAGACCACCAGTCCTTTCTTCTGAGATGCCTCTGAGTGGACTTGAACATCCAACCTCTTGGTTAGCAGCAGAGCATGTTAACCATTAGCTCTGCTTAGGGACTCTAGTGTAACTAAGAAATGGCTAATCTACAGAACACTGAGCCACCGCCTCCTCCCTTCCTGCCATCAAACTCGAATTGCCAAACTGTTGATGCAGAGTAAAGAAATCCAGGCCACCTTAATTGAAGTTGCCTAATCTTACACTGTGTTTTCTGTGGTTCACCACTAATGTGGCTAAGGAAGTCAGTGCATGAGCCCCAGGAAACATAACACACAAAACTCTAGAATTGCCTTTTTAGATAAAAAGTGACAAGCAAGTTGTGAACACTGGTTTTAGGTGGCCTACCTCGGGGGAGCTAATTTCTCCTCTAAGAACTCCTCGATCTTATTCACATCTGTCTTGACTTCACCATCAAAAGTCATAAAAGGAGGGTTGGTTCCAGGGGCCAGGTTCTGCAAGTCCTCCGGCTTCCTGGGTGGGTGTAAAAAGCAGAGTTTGTGGGAAGGGGCTGGCATTTGGATTCATTTCTAATGCTTAGCCTTGTCCTCCCAATTTAAAAGAAAGAACCCTTGAGAATTTCAAAGTAGATTGTGGGTTTACAAAATGTTTTACTGGAGATGAAAGTAAAAGCATTTATGAACAAATTACAGGCTGGGTTCTCCTCTGTGTGGGACACAGCGGTGAAGGTGGTGCTTCCTAGAGCTCTCAGCTGGGAGAGATGCTCAGTTAGGCTTCAGAGACATGTGTGGTTAACTGGGAGAGCAGCTTCCTTGTGATGTTTCCAGCTCCTCCCACTGGCAGATTACACCCCATCCCATTCTGCAGTGATGCTATGGGTCCACATGTTCCTGACCAAAATAGACATCATCCATGGTGTATGTAGCCTATGGGCCCTAAGAATGTGTGTTTATGAGTGTGTAGTGTATGTGTGTTAGCATGTATGAATTTAGTATGTGCACAGGCACATGTACCTGTACATATGTGGGGGGTGTGTGTGTGTGCATGCAGTGTGTATTCGTGTGTGTATGTGTATATGTGGGGTGGTTGGATATGAGGTGTGTGGATATATTGTAAATGTGTGCCTGAAACTAGGTACAGTCAGTTCAATACTTTGTCTTACCTTTTCAAGTCCACTGTGGTGACATTAAATATAACTCCCTTTAACCACAGAATCATAAATAGACGCTGAGAAAATGGGCAATTTCCAATACTCTCACCATCATAACCAGCCTACAAATTGAAAAAAATAAAAAATTTTAAATCTGAGTCACTCTTTTAATGATAAATGCCAGATCCCAAAATGCACACAAAATTATCACACATTTTGATGAATATACTAAATATACAGTTGAGGCCAATTTACTTGGTCTTTAAGGAGTCTGGGTATCACAGTGATTAAGTGCTCAGCTACTAACCGAAAGGTCAGTGGTTCGACCCCACCAACCGTTCCACGGGAGAAAGATATAGCAGTCTACTTTAGTAAAGATTACAGCCTTGGCGATCCCTACTCTGTCATATAGGTTTATGTACAAGTTGGAGGTGGGTGTGGGCCGAGGTGATGTTGGGGAACGGATGGGTGAGCAGACATACACATTGTGATGAACATTTTCATCCTTCCTTCTACACCACATCACCACTTCCTGCCTCTCTGAATAGATGGGCCTCTGAGTAGCAAGAAAAGACTCCTCTGCTTACCAAAGGGGTGGGAGGGAGAAAAATTGTTCATTCCCTCCCTTTATCTCTTGATCTTCTCCAGAAGCAACATACCTCTCTTTCCAGGGCGATCTTGCTTTAAAACCGACTAGCAGGCTCTCACAACAAGACCTCATGTCTAATTGTTGTTGTTAAATGCTGTTGAGTCAGTGCCAACTCATAGCAACCCAGTAAAGGGTTTCCGAGGAGCAGGTGGTGGTTTTGAAGCGCCAACGTTGTGGTTAACAGTTCAGTGCTTATCCTACAGCACCACACCAAGACTCCCCATGTTTAATACTCATGCAATAATGCTCATCTACAGAAGAAAGGATTGAATTATATGAGCTTTAAGATCCTTGGGCACACAGTGAAGGAGGCTTCCTGCGGAGCCTCTGCAATACATAAGACTATAAGTGGAAGCGTGAACCACATCCAGATCTCCAGAGATGGGAAATTCCCACTTGAAAGGACAAGCAGACCAACCTGGAGTGGCTAGAACAGAAGATAACTTCTTGAAAGAAAGACCTACAGGAAAAATATAAAACAACATAGGCAGA